CTGTATATGTATGTATATATATATATTATTTATTTATTTAAATTTTTTTATCTTTGGAAGGAAGGGATTTACAGAATAAACTAAACAGGGGCGGAGCTAGAGGGTTGGGCAGGGTGGCAACTGTCACTGCTGGCACCTGATTGGCCACCCCCAAATAATAAATAAAGGTAAAATTACATGAACAGAAAATAAATGACTTAGGTGAAAATAAATTTCACTGATGAGAAAACTACTCAAGTAAAACTCATAAAACTGTTCACAAAAATTAGGAAAGTAAAACTAAAAAATACTTTTACACACTCTCTAAGAAGTAAACTGTTGAATTTACTGAACCAAACTGGTTCCAATAAACCAGGTTGAGTAAATTGAGCGATATATTTATATTCTTTGTATCATTTTTAGCTTTAAAATGTAACAAAATAAAAGTAAAAGTAGCTGTTTTAAAAAAATGGTAAAATTACAAATCCTCAAAAATAAACTACTTAAGTACTTTAACAAAGTAAATGTACTTAGTTACTATAAACCTCTGCAAATAATTGATAAGTCTGGGGTGGTCTTGGTTTTTGAATTTGCATTTAGATTTTGTTTAAGGTTGGACTATACAAATTTTCAGCTGTGTATGTTTAAAAATGGCTATAGTAAAATTAGCATTAGAGGTTAGCTTAATTTGGCATTAGCTTCAGCAATAAGCACGTGATCATTCTTAGCTACTTCTCTACAAATTTATTTATTAGTCTTAGTGTGTCTGAATATGGTTGAATAATAAGTTTTGACTTTTATTTAGCATGTTTCGTGGCTTTTTCTTAGCTATAATTGAAAAATTAAGCTGTGTTTCTGAAAACAGCTGAATTAAAGCCATTTTAAATTAGCTGTGTCGGCCATCTTGAATTTTTAAACCCAGAGTTCTTTTGTTTATTTGTATGTGAACCCTAAAAACATCTTGGCCACCCCTTTCAAAGAAGTCTAGCTCTGCCCCAACCCCAAAATAATCTGACTTTATAGATGAATTTCTTACTTGTAGCCTCATTTAATATTTATGATTCTTTCTTCTCTCCTGCTCTTCCATTCGTTTTCCTCAGCCACCACTTTTTAGTTTCTCTGCTGTCCCCGTCCTCCTCCACCTCACACCGCTCCCCTCGACTTCTCCAGCTCTATTTATAGACCGTGCTCCTCTTCCTCACTCACATTTTCCTTCTTTGTGTCCTTCTCATTTCTTATCTTGATGCACAATCCCTTTTTCTCTGCCCTGAATCTATCTCTCTGTTTTGTCACATCCCTCCTTCCTCCTCCCCTCATTTGTCTTCATCCCCTCGCCCGCCCCCCCATTCCGTTTCTATTTGACCCATATCTGTGATGACATCATCTGAGAATGGCTTCATAAAAAAATCATTCTGCTCAGGAGCTCCTAGTGCTCCTGTTTTATCCAACACCAGCTTTTAAACTAAAAATAAACATTTTCAAAGGAACTCTTTGTGATGTGGTTCAGATAACTCGATGACTCAGCAGTATTCCTGAGGAATAGTTTATCTTAATTGCTGTTTAATTGTAAAGACATGATTTGTGTTTTTGCTCTGAAGTTTTTGACAAATGTTTTACCATTGAAATAAAACTTAGTTTGCTTTAGTTAGAATGTGCTTGAGTAAAAAAAAAAAAGATTAGTAGTAAAGGATGTTTTATAAAGGAACTTAATTTACACACATTTGATACTTTGTGATTGATTACTTTGAACAGTTAGAGAATCACTAGCTGTGTTTCCATTGCAAATGTGCACAAAACTTTGTCGATATTCTGTTAATGT